GAAATAATTATAATGTTTTGATGGAAATTTAGAAAAATGGTTGGAGAAGAGATATTTACATATTTCACTGTCTATTTAGTGCAAATAAATATGGATTTGCTTTCTGAGTATTGTCCAGTTACCTTCTTGTTCAGGCTCAGACATGATCTTCTTAATCTCCTTCCCACCTTTCATCCCCCTTTCTCCTTCACTCCCTTCCTTTTCTTTTTGTGTGGGGTGTGTGTGTGTGTGTGTGTGTGTGTGTGTGTGTGTGTGTGTGTGTGTGTGTGTGTGCATGAGTGTGCATGCTGGTTCTGGTCCCTGAGCTTTTCCACTCAAGGCTAGCATGCTATTACTTGAGCTATAGCTCCACGTCTGTTTTTAGTAATTACTTGGAGATAGTCTCACATACTTTCCTGCCAGGGCTGGCATCAAACTGTGATCCTCAGATCTCAGCTGAGTCTCTTGAGTAGTTTACGATTACAGGTTTGAGCCACTACAGCCCAGTAAGACTGGACAGTTCCTGAATCTCAGTGAGCTGGTGGCTAAAGGAGGAAGTTTGTTTCTTATAGGAACAGGCTGAGGTCCCCTGTGACCCATAACACTCCTGATAGTGAGGCCCACATGACAGTAAGTGAAAATGAGAGATATGGTCCTTAAGGTCATTAATGCAGGACATGCTAAAGTTGAGAACTACTGTTTTCCCTTTAGCCATGCAAACTGGTCCCTCACACTCCAGGTTAAAGGGATCAATCCTAAATCTGCCATTGTAATTACTCCCAGATAATGGAAAGAACCAATTTAGTTCCTGTGGTGTGCCTCTAAATCCTTCTGTCTTACACACACACACACACACACACACACACACACACACACACACACACACACACACACACACACACCCCCCTTAAACAAAGGAGGTCAGGTGCTAGTGGCTTGTGCCTGTAATCCCTAGCTATTCAGGAGGCTGAGATCCGAGGATTGCTGTTTGGAGCCAGCCAGTGCAGGAACGTCTGTGAGACTTACCTCTAATAAACTACCCAGAAAAAGCTGGAAGTGGCACTGTAGTTCAAGTGGTAGAGGGCTAGCCTTGAGCAGAAGCTCAGGGACAGTGCCCAGTCCCTGAGTTCAAGACCCAGGATTGGCAAAAATAAAATAAAAATAAAGGAAAGTGAGAAAAGCCAGACATTTTGCACTCTTCTTCATGTTGAGTATTTAAGTGAGATACTATTTTTGTTCAACTTTTATTTTAATTCCATTATTTTTGTAGGTTTTTTTATTTTGAACAAATGAGTTGGGAGCTGGAAATATTATGGGATTCTCAGTTGAATATATCTTAAAGTCAAGCTCGAGGTGTTTCTGTCAATTTAAGAAACAAAATCAAGCTGGGTACCACTGGGTACTACTCTGGTGGCTGAGACCTGAAGATCAGAGTTCGAAACCAATCTAGGCATGAAAAATCTGAGACTCATCTTCAATTAAGCACCAAAAAGCCAGAATAGAGCTGTGGTTCAAGTGGTAGAATGCTAGCCTTGAGCACAGGGACAGCACTCAAGTCCTAAGTTCAAGCCCCAGGACTGGCACAAAAATAATAAACAAAAATCATGGCCAGAAATTCCTGTGTACAGAATCAGGAATTGAGGTTTCTTTTTCTGGTGAGGTAGAACGACTTGCCACAGCATGAATGTAGGGTCAGGGGTTTCTTAAATGCCTGGTGTTTCTATGGGTTGGTATTTTCACAGACTATTTGGTATAAGATTTCATATCATTTTATGATTTGCTTGAAGAAAATCCTGGCGTCACGATCACGGGACAGGGGAAGTCTTTAAAGTTTTGTAAATAAGTTTATTTCCTTTTACTTTTAAATTTTCTGTTAATCTCCACTCCTCCCCCCTCCCCTTCCCATTTTAGTTTTTTTTTTCAAATTTTTTAATTGTGAAAATACCGTACAGAGGGGTTACAATTACATGGGCAAGGTAATGAGTACATTTCTTACAAGCATTGTTGCCTCCTCCTTTGTTTCCCCTTCCCATCCCTTCCCATCTCTCCCTTCTTGCCCACCCCCTCACCGCCTGCCAAAGTTGTTAAGTTCGTTTTTCGACATAACGTCTTGTACATCTCATTGTTGCAATGGGTCCACCTGTATCCTTATTTAAACAATTTGTTTTTTCTCTTCCCCTCCACAAAGTATACCAATATCAAATACAGTGAAAACAGGGGTTATACCGTGGGGGAGGGACATTCAAAGCAACAAAGAAATCATCTTATAAATATATTAGACACAATTGCAAGAAAGAAAAAAACAGTTGAATCCTTATCTTGAATCCTTATCATTTCGCCTAACATCAACTTATCTGACCGTTTCTGCTTGTTCAGTTTTTATAGCCAGAAGCATACTTCCTTAAATATGCCCGAACTCCTGGCACCCTCTAGTGGCCATATATTTAAGAAGTTTTCTCCACAATGATAATTGTCCTATTTTCTGCTTTGGCTCCTCATGAAGAGGGTTTGAAATCAGAAATTCTACATTGAATCCTACCTTCATGACTGGCTGGGGTAAATATCATCTTGAGGGATCTTCTGTAGCCATTCTATCCAATAAGGATGTGGGATATTTAAAATAAAACAATTTGAAAAATTCAGTGGAATAAGAATCGGGTTTGAAAATAGACAGGGACTTGACTTCAGCACTTTCAATCTGGCAAGTATTTAACTCTTCATCCTTTCATAGCTCCACATACAGCATATGAACACAGAGCTGTTATATACTGGAAGCATGAAGGCAAATAGTAGCAAAGGGTATTAATTAAAAGGAGACAATTATTGAGGAGTCTAGGAATCTTCCACCCATCAAATCATTACGACTAGAACCACAGATTGGCTTCATTGAAGGTTCTCAAATTATATGGCCCATCCTCCCTACTTCAAAGCCCAATGTCGCTGTCATTCTCCACCCTTAAAACCCAAAGTCCACTAATGATCACATGACACTCAGAACTTGCTTATTTTTCGGTTTATTTTTACAGAGAATGGCAAAATGAGAAAGCAATTGACAGGTGAGGAATGCACACAGAGAAAAACCACACTGACCGTCTCCTGATGTCACGGGGTCCAGCGGTGGACACATGTTCCGGTAAAGTGATTTTGTCATGGAGAAGTCATCTGACATGCTTCTCAGGGTAGAGAAAGTAAAGAAACCCACAGTACAATTATGTAAAATGACACCAAAGCTAAACATCATATACATAGTAACTCCTTTATTCTAGTATTATAAAAATAGTGCCAGAAACTATATATTTGTTCAAATATATTGAAAAAAGTATAAGAATACAAATAGATATTAACAGTGGCTAGTGATGAGTATTAAGGTTTCCTTTTCTTAAACTGTGATAGAAATTTGTATTTGCAACTATTTACATGACTTTCAACAACATTCAAGACAGATTGACACAGGCTTTTGATGAAGTGTATGGAAGGGCAAAGTGAGCTCTAGAACTTTCTTCTGCCTTCTGTCAACTTCCCTTGAAGATAGAGACTTTTATCTAAACCTGCTTCTGAATTACAACTTCCTCAGGCACACAGAGGTAAAGTGACTCACACGAACTCACAGGATTGTGGGTGGCAAGGGCCAATCCTCTAAACAAAGGACAAAGCCAGGCAGTTCAGACAGCTCTTACCAAGTTAGTAGAAAGTAGGAGAGGCTTTTCTGCGTGAACATGGAGATTAAATGGTATCAAACTGGGTGTGGTGGTTTATATCTGTAATCCTAGCTACTCCGGAGACTAAGAGATAGAGGATCACAGTTTGAGGCCAGCCTGGGCAGAAAAGTATGAGTCCCTATCTCAAAAATTACTGGAAAAAATAAAAAACCAGGGCTGAAGGCATGGCTCAAAGTGGTTGAGTTTCAGCCTAGCAAATGTGAGGCCCTGAGTTCAAACCCAAGTACCAACAAAACAACAAAAAAATTAATCATGTTACTCTGATATAACCAAGTGGACAGATAAACAACCTCTTGCTAATTATGGGAGATATAAACATAGGGGAAAGCAGGGATATATATAGATATACATCTATATATAGATATCCATATATGTAGATATCCATATATAGATAGATATGTAGATATCCATATATAGATATGTAGATATCTATATATATAGATATGTATCTATATATAGATATATATATCTATATATAGATATGTATCTATATATAGATATATATATCTCCTGGGAAAGAAATAGTCACATAAAAGCATACACTTTGATTGGTACCCATGAACCACAGACAGTAATCTAGGTCTGGAATGGTTTTCTAACAAATCAAAAATTATGGGACCAGATTACTCAATCCTAAAGAAATATTCTCTTCTGTCTGATCTAAAATATCCAACAGTAAAATAATATGCACATGGCAGTGGCAAACTTCTTTTAATGGCTAAACTAATGAAACGAACTATTACCTAAAGGCGACCCAAACAATTTCTGATCTCAATATGGTTTCCTACTCACCACAATATGCATCTGCAAGTCTTCCACATACAATCTGCCATGTCTTACAAACATTCTCAGTGGCTTACATCAGAAGGGCCTAAAGAAAATGACTCAAGTGTCTTGACTCTGTTTTAGCATGACTGTTAACTCACAATGTGTGTGATTAACTAAAAGGTTTATTAAGGAATGCTATCCTGGAGACAATTTGTCCCTACTCAAGAGCTGGGTGTGCATGCATAGGTGTACAGCAGTAGGTGGGCACAATTATTAGTGGAGTGACAGGCAGTGTTACTTTTACACCAGTGCCATGGAAAGACTAACTTACAGATTATACCTGATGACATATGACAAAAATAACATTCTGAAAATACAAGTATTACAATGATCACGCATACAGCATTTAGTGGACAACTTCCCAGATTAAGCCTTACCCATATAAAAGTAATAGCAATACAACTTCTTTTGCTTTTATTCCCTTGTCTGAATGGTACAAATTAAGCCATTTGCTTCAATATATAAACATAAACACAGAATTTGCAGCACACTGAATTTCAGGAAAAGACAAAGGGAAAGGACATAAATGGCAACCAAGTAACTTTACTGTTGCTTTGAACTCATTTTTTTTTGAACACAGTATAGGAAATAGCCCTCTGCTGCTCATGAAATTAATTTTTTCTCTCTACTTAACTCAATGGAGGAACAACCAGGTTTATTTTGTATTGTTCTATTAATGGTCATGTCTCACTCAGATCAATACTCCAATGATAATGTCTTTTATTTTTTTGGAAAAAGAGGCATGGAAACTTCATTGTTGACTTATAAACTGTAAGGAGACCAGGACCTCAGCACAAATCCTAGTACCAGCACACACACACACACACACAGACACACACAGACACACACAGACACACACAGATACACACCAAGTCACTAAAAAACAACCCACATTTTCTTTACAGTCTTGTTTCTCAATGTCTTAACTTTGTCAAGACATTTTTGACCCATATACTCATTTCTTTTAAAAATCTATTTGGCCAATCTATGCTATTTTATGAATGGCAATGGATGGGCCAGAATATATTCAATTCTCTCCTAACCTACTTTTGATCAAAGGAAAGATTCCAAGCATTCTTGAAAGTTCAGTGACTCAGGAAACACAAGATCAATTCCTGGCAATCCCCAAGAAGAAAGCCACCCCAGTGCACAGCTTCCACTCACATATGACCACACGCAAAATACCACCAGCAGTGCTCGGACCAACATGTTAAGAGTGGGTGTCATTCACTATTTTCAGGTCAGTGGCATAAAACAAATATACAGAAAATATGTCATAATTCCCCTTACAAAATTTCATGCTATATCCTCCAAGGTTGTGCAAAAAATAAAAGATACAGCAGTGGCAAAGTGTACACCAGTGGGTAGTGAGAGTGTGCACATGGCAGACTCCACCATGAGTGGAAATCTGGGCTTTTTGTGTGAGGCAGGCTGTTCAGTTCCGCTTGGGCTGGCCACTCTCGCCATTAATCAGTGTCTTCTCCTGTTGTTCTGCGAGGGCCTGCCATTTCTGCCTGTTCTTTCTACAGCCATCTAGCAGAGGCAGACAGTCCTCTGAGACATGGGTCAGGGCCTACAGAGAGAAAAAACGAAGGCTAAGATAAAGGAAGGAAGGACTCAGGCCCTCTCCCGCAAACCTGCCACAAGGGTGGCCATGGTCTACGTTCATTTCACTGGTGGGGTTTCCATAATGGTGTGAATATGCCATCATTACAAAGATAATGAATACATGATCTTCTTTGGAGATACAGAACGAGTACAACCCTCCATGGGACCTGAGTTGTGGAGACGGATGTGAAAACAAAACATTTATTTCTTGGCTCTGAGTGTGAGAATGACTACAAGAAGAAGACAGGATTTTTCTTTTTTGTTGTGGTAGTGTTTTTTTTCCCCACATTTGAGTATAGAGTGATTTCTTATACTGCACTGTTTAATCCAAGCTCAGAATAAAGGTTAATTCCTAACTCAGGGTGGCGTTATTTGCTAAGGATGAGGTCATACAGGTTTAGCTACAAGAATGTTCCCTGTAGATTTCTCCTTTTTTTGGCTGAGTCTGGGACTTGAACTCCATTTCTGATGACTCTGCTCACTGGCTGGTGCTCTACCACCTGGGCCATGTTTCTAACCCCTGTAGATTTCTTTATGATAAACACTGAAAGAAACAAATACCTAACAACAGGGCTAAGTATATTTCATAACTATTTTGTACTCATTAAACATGATTACAGAAACACAGGCGACACAGAAATGTGTATTATGATCTATGAAATTAAGAGTCTACGTATGAAACTATAAAGTGTGTACATTCATGTTATTAGTAGATATGCTTTAGTAGTAAGATGGTAAGTGATTTAACCTTCCATTTTCCTTCTTGGTACTTTGTTTTATCTACCATGATAATGTATTATTATTCCTATAATAACATTAACAATACAGATGAAGATCACAGATCACAGCAGATTCAAGCACATTGACTTCTTGCCCACATATGGAATGCTGGTAGACAAAATCTCTAGTGGGTATTGGTAGTGTGTGTGTGTGTGTGTGTGTGTGTGTGTGTGTGTGTGTGTGTGTGTGTGTGTGTGTGTGTGTGTGTGTGTGTGTGTGTGTGTGTGTGTGTGTGTGTGTGTGTTTGCTGGTACTGGGGCCTGAACTCTGGGTCTCACATTCTTCTCTTTTTTTACTTAAGGTTGGTACTCTTCCACGTGAGCTTTTTGCTGGTTAATTGGATACAAGTCTCCTGGGTTTGTCTGCTTGGGCTGGCTTCTAGCTTTCTGAGTCACTAGGATGAGTCACCTAACTCAGCATCTGGTTATTTTGATAGCATTTATCGGGATAGGAAAAAAAATATCAAAGGAGCCATTGGTGCAACTGAGGTACTCTTAACCATCAGATAGGGAAAGCATCTGTTAGTGAATCCTGGAGAAGGCAAGGGAGCAGCGCCTGGACTCCTTTACCTTGTTTCTTTGGTGTCTCTCTGTCCTTTCCTCTTGTTTCCCACTGACTAGTGCTTCTTTGTTAACTTGTTTGATGGCTACAACTTCACTCTAGGTAATGTTCTTTCCCCAAATAAATACTGAAAACAAGTTCCTCTTTGAACTTTTTTTTTTTTAAACTCAGGGCTTTATACTGTACCTACCACTTAAAACATGCCTCAGCTTTCCACCTTAAATGTTAAAAAATAAAAATGGTTGCCAGGAGCCATTGGTTCACACCTATAAACCTAGCCATTCAGGAGGCTGAGATCTGAGGATCAAGTTTTGAAGCCAGCCCAAACAGCAATGTCCATGAGACTTTTTATTTCAATTTAAGCATCAAAAAGCTGGAAGGCAAGTGGTGGCTCAAATGCTAGAGCACTAGCCTTGAGATAAAAAAGCTCAGGCCTTGAGTTCAAGCCCCAGGACACTCTCTCTCTCTCTCTCTCGCTCTCTCTCTCTCTCTCACACACACACACACACACACACACACACAAGATGGCATTTCTCCTTTCTGTACTGAGATCATAAACCTCTAAATTCATAAACAATTTTTTTTGTGCTAGTCCTGGGACTTGAACTCAGCGTCCGCATGTTGTTCCTGAACTGTTTTACTCAAGGCTAGTACTCTACCACTTGAGCCACAGTTCTACTTCCTGCTTTTCTGATGTTTAATTAGGGATAAGAGTCTCACAGACTTTCATTTCCCAGGCTCATTCAAACTGTGATCTTCAGATCTCAGCCTTCTGAGTAGCTAGGATGACAGACATGAGCCACCAGCACCCTGTTTTTTCAGGGAAAATCTTTTTACCTGGAATATAACCTCTCCCCAAACCCAAAACAAAACAAGAATCCACTCTTGCAGAAGTATAGAAATGAACTGGTAATCATCTTTTAACCCCTTTCTTCTAACTCCCTCCTTTCAATCCTCAGAAATTTTTTTCTAATTTTTCCTATCTGTACATCAAACGAATAAGTTTTCATAAAATAGGAAGTATAAAATATGTTCCTGTTCAATACAAACATCAGTAAAAGAAACAATGCTACTACTAATTTTATTTCTTCTTTTTTTTTTTTCTGCTTGTTCGCTTCTTGATTTGAAGGAAAAAGAAATGTATGTTCAATGCTAATCTCTTCTATTTACTTCGGGTTTGGGTTCAGAACGTAAGTGTAGTTTCCCATAAATACCTCATAGAGTTGTAAACAGATGGCATCGATGAACCCAACTTGCATGCTTGGGATTTTGTTTTTCTTCTCTCTGTTCATTAGATCCTGAAAATAAATACACACACAGACAGAGCCAGGTTTATTTCCAAGCAGGCAGTGAAGGCTGGCCAGCCAAAGATGGAGCGGCCAGCTAGCTGGCAAGATCAGACAGCAAGTCTATGGACCCCAAAGCAGAAAGAAAAAAGATCCTTGGTTCCTTTCTAAAAGACACAAGCGCTTTCAGAAGAACCTTTGCTTCTAGTTGATCCATCACTCTATTTAAAGAGGCAGTAGATGAAAGGGGGATGGAGGGGTGAATACAGTCAAGAACTCATGGTATATGCCACAAAATTAAGAACTGTAACAGGGGCTGGGCATGTGGCTTAGTGGTAGAGTGCTTGCCTTGCATGCATGAAGTCCTGGGTTTGATTCCTCAGTACCACATGAACAGAAAAAGCTGGAAGTGGTGCTATGGCTCAAGTGGTAGAGTGGGCAAAAGAAGCTCAGGGACAGTGCCCAGGCTCTGACTTTAAACTCCAGGACTAACCAAAACACAAAAGAATAGAAAGAAATGTAAGGGAAGGGGTGGGACAGAAGGAGATGGGACTGTGGAAGAGGTGACAAGGATCAAGATGTATTGTATTCACACACCCCCATGTTAAGTAACACCTCCCCTGTACCACTACTTAAAGATAATAATAATAAAACAACCTCTTAAAAAAGGCAGCATGGATTAAATAATACCTTTAAATTCTATGTTGCCTCACGGGAATTTATCCTAACAGAATAATAAAGGAACAGCTGACAGAAGTTCAGCAACATCCATGGTTTTTTTTTTTTTTAATCACTGTGCTCTTTGTAATATGAACACTGCAGACCTCATTATACCAAATATAATTTGGTATAATGATGATGACATTTATTTCATGTCATTTTGACCAATGTCACTTGACAGAACATCTTTTGGGATAAAAAGTAGTTCATCATGGGGCTGGGAACGTGGCTTCGTGGTAGAGTGCTCACCTAGCATGCACGAAGCCCTGGGTTCGATTCCTCAGACCAAAAGTGGCGCTGTAGCTCAAGTGGTAGAGCACTAGCCTTGAGCTGAAGAGCTAAGAGACAACTCCCAAGCCAAGAGTTCAAGCCTCATGACAGACCAAAAAAAAAAAAAAAAAAAAAAGTAGTTCATCATATTTAAATGGAAAAAAAAAGTGCAAATTGCCAAAAAAAAAAGTGGCACAATATAGTGAGTACAAGTCTTGTTTTTTGGTCCTGTTACTTGTATTTGCTTTTGGTCAAGGGCATGTATAATTCTTCTAACAAGAAAAACTGGTTAGAAAAAACAAGTAAACTGAGAAATTGCATTCCCAAGGAAAGAACCCAGAAAAACATTAAAAAAGAAAAAAAGAAGTACACAATTTAGAGGGGTGTGATTGTGCACACCTGTAATTCTAGCACTTAGGAAGCTGAGTCAGGAAGATATCTGAGATTTGAGGCTAGTCTGGGCTATTGTCTTGAAAATAAAAAGCATATAGTTAAAAAAGTATACATTTGAGTAATTGCTATCCAGAAGGTGTCCTACTTACCGTGGGTTCTATGTTGAGTTCTTTCCTCTCTCTGTCTCCTTGGTCAAAAAATTCAGTTGCTACAAGTTCTGCTATCTGAAATAAATACCAGACTTTGTTTTGGGGAAGGAAAAAGCATGTCACTCTAAGAGGCTAGTGCACAGCTGAAGAAACTGAAGTGCAGAGCGAGATGAAGCAATTTGCACAAGGATGCTAGCAATAAGCAATAGCAGGACATTTGGACATGGGTCCATGTCTGGCTCCTCTCTCTTCATTACTACATTCATTCATTCATTCATTCATTTACTCTTCCCCATGTCTGTAAATCTCTCCTTGGTAGTTTGCAGCCTTTTTCCTTTTTGTGCTGGTCCTGGGGCTTGAACTCAGGGCCTGAGTACTGTCCCTGAGCTCTTTGACTCAAGGCTAGCACTCTATCACTTGACTTTTATCTCTATTTCTGGATTTTGGGTGTTTACTTGCTGATATGAGGCTCACAGACTTTCCTGCCTGAGCTGATTTTGCTTCAATCTTCAGATCTCCTGAGCAGGATTGGTTTGCTGCTGTATGTATGTATGTATGTATGTATGTATGCATATATGTTTGTATTTGTTATTTATTTGGTGTTGTTATTGGGGCTTAAACTCAGGGCCTTTCATTCTCATTTGGCTTTTTGACTCAAGGCTGGTACTCTATAAATTGAGCCACATCTCCAGTCTAGCTTTTTGCTGGTCAATTGGAGATAAAAGTCTCATGAACTTTTCTGCCCAGTATGTTTTTACACCATAATTCTCAGACCTCAAGCCTCCTGCATAGCTATGATTACAGGTGTGAGTCACAAGTGCCTGTCTAAATTTTATTTTTAATGTGTTTGATTCTTCCTTTCTCTCCCCTCCAATAAAGCAATAGGTCAAAGGTTCAATTCTGAAGAAAGTATAAATGGAATGACATTATCTTCCTGTCTTCCGTGTCCTTTCCTATTTGAAAATGGCTCCTGATCCTATTTAATACAGAGCCAGAAGCGATGTCAGATGACCTTTCTGGAGAGCATGGCACGTCTGTGGATTTTAATCTTGTTTTTTCTATGCGATTCATGACCTGAACCTCTTTTGTTTCTGTGCTGTGTCACTTGTTGCCAGCAAAAGTCTCTGATAATACATTCAGAATCAAAATTCCATCTCCCCAAACAAAATGCAATATGCATATCACCACACAGCCCATCTTCTTCTGCCTCTGTTATGGCAAAAGTGTTCTGGAAGCTCTCCTAATTCAGAGAAAAGGTCTTTATTACTTATATTCCCGATCAGATCCTCTTACATCCGACAACAACATTTCCTTCAAGAACTTGGTAATGCCACCTTAGTGCTAAGGAAAAGCCTAGCTTAACCAATGAGCCTTAAGGAAAAATCAAAAGCATGTACTAAAAAAAATAAAATTCCAAAAAACATAAACCCAAGGTTAGCCAGAAGTAGCATCGAAATGCAAACGTCAACAGTTAGGTTTCAGTGTTCTTTTATCATACAAATACAAAGTGTAAGCCAGTCTCATGGAATAAAGAAAACCTTTTTTTTGAATACCAAGTTTATATAAGGGAATATTATATATATATATATATATATATATGAATATTATTATACTCATTGGGATTCATTTTGTTCTTAATGGTGAGAAAAGTCATGGTGATGCAAACTGGTGATCTGATTACTTTTCAAATGGTTTTTTGATGAATATATGTTAGTTCTGACTTTTCCATGATTCATTCAGTATATCTCTGTCACCCCACCCTCTTTCATTCCCCTAATTCTGGCTCCTTAAATCAATTTCAGCAGGTTTCATTGTTGTGCTTTCATACATGCAAATCAACTACTTAGGCCATAAAGGGAAAGTTGTTCTTTTTCTTGTTGCTGTTTATGTCCAACTATCTGTTTTTAACTCTGCTTAAGAATTAGAAAAAGCAAATAATAATAATAATAATAATAATAATAATAATAATGAGTTGGGCACCAGTGGCTCATGTCTATAAACCTAGCTACTCAGGAGCTGAGATGTAAATATCACATTTTGATGCCAGCCAAGGCAAGAAAGTCTGTGAGAACCTTATCTCTAATTAACTACCAAAAATAAACGCAGAGGTGGAGCTGTGGCTCTAGTGGTTGAGCACTAGCTTTGAGTATAGAACCTTAAGGACAGCACCTAAGCCATGAGTTCAAACCTTAGTACCAGCTCCAAAACAAACAAACAAACAACAAACTTATGAAAAGCATTCCCTAAATGTTGACTTTGGAAGTGCCTTTAAGCATGAGATCTTTTCTTATTTTGACTTTGTAGCTACTGCTTTTTCCATCACTATGCAACATACCCGCTGTTGGATGGGCCAGGGCTTCGTGATCGCTGAGAGGTCACAGGCCGTCATCAGCATGGCTCTGGTGGGGGAGAGAGAAACACAAATCCCCATTAACTTTTCTGTGCAGACACACCTCCGTAAACCATCACTACTAAAGCGGAGTGACAGAAACCCTCTCAACAAGAGGAATGGCAGTCAGGGGGGACCGGAGAAACAGACCAGTTTCCACAGACTCCTCTATGACAAGTGTCCTCCTTCACAGCACTCCCTCAGATGGTTGCATCTAGCTCCAGACTGGCACAAGCACATGATTTGCTTTGGGGTAAAACATACCTGCTATTATTATTTTTTGCAAGGTAGAATGATGAGAACACATTGGTACTGATGCATAATTAAAGGAAAACATCAGATATCATACTGATGAAAGTGCTGTAGCAGAAATTATGGTGGGCACTTGGAGTGCTATTGGATCATACTTGTAATTCTAGCTACTCAGGAGACTGAGATCTACGGATCGTGGCTTGAGGCCAGTCCTCGGCGGGAAAGTATGTGAGAATCTTATCTCCAATTAACCACCCAAAAGCTGGAAGTGGAGCTGAGTGGCTCAAGTGGTAGAGTGCTGGTTAGCTAGCCTTGAATAAACAAACCAACAAACAGAAAAACTAAACTAAGGCACCGAGGCCTTGAGTTCAAGCCCCAGTTTTGGTGTGTGTACAGGCATGTGGACGTGTGTGCACACACACACACAAATTATAGTGAGCAATCCTAATTCGTTTACCACCTGCTGGTGCCCTTAATGTGGAAAGGCTTAGAATGATGAAATTGAAGTGAGAATGGAGAAGATTCAGCCCTGGTTAGGGAAGTGAAAACACTTAGGTCTCAGGAGTCTGTGAGTCTCTAGCTGAACACAAGACCTTGTGCTTGAACATGGCTCTGCCTTTAGCCTGATGCTCCCATCTCAGACCTGAATGTCTGATGTATTTACCCCTTTAATTAGTTTAAAGAAATAGGCAATAGGCCATTCCCTTAAGATATTAACACTCAAGGCAAAGTAGCAAAAGAAAATGGTACTCTCTCTTGCACTGATTCTCTGACTTAAAATCAGTGTCCTGGAGATATATATATATATATATATGGATTGTGAGGCTTGAACTCATGGCCTGGGCACTGTCCTAAGTATTTTTGCTCAAAACTAGCGCTCTATCACTCTGAGCTACAACTCCACTTATGTTTTTGGTGGTTAATTGGAGATAAGAGCCTTGTGGACTTTCCTGCCTGAGCTTTGAACCACAATTCTCAGATTTCAGCTTCCTAAGTAGCTAGGATAACAGGTGTGAGCCACCCACCAGCATCTGGCTTGGAGCTATTTGTCATGGTCACAAAGGATTTCAATAAGTTGACAGTACATCTGTCTCTAAGATGATACCCTGTGCCCTTAACTGCAATCCCACCAACACAGGGGCCAGGTGGGTGTCAGGCCTACTGTAGACTTCTCCACAAGAGGTCAGGCCAGGACAGAACAGCTCAGAGGGAATATCCTCTTGTATCTCTCTTGTTATATTGAGAACAAGTATTCACTAACCACAGCAGGAGGCACTTTCTTTTGTACTGAGCTATTCTAAAAAGCCCAGGAAACCATGCAATGACATATGGCTACACACAATAGACAGCTGGGAATCCCTCTGTTCTTTCCTTATAATTTGTGTCTTTCATGGCATGCAAAGTAATCTCCCCATTTATTAAAGCAGTGTTGACTTCAAAATTGTGTGCACACTATCCTTAGAATTCGATGTCTCCTTTTTCTTGATGACTGCCTCTTGGCTCCTTTGTTTTGATCTTGTTCTCGCCACAACGTAGGTAGCTATTGTAAAACAAAACAAAACAAAACCTAACAACAAGAACAAAGGTGCTAGAAGGAAGGGAAAGGTGTACTGGTGATAGAAGAGATCCTGGAGGGCCCCAATTCTAACAGCACTGCTAGGCTGAGTGTCATCCATGTGTATCATCTGTGTGTGTGTGTGTGTGTGTGTGTGTGTGTGTGTGTGTGTGTGTGTGTGTGTGTGTGTGTGTGTGTGTGTGTGTGTGTGTGTGTGTGTGTGTGTGTGTGTGTACTCGGACTTGAACTGGGCTTTATTAAAGCTTGATACTTGAGCTACATCTCCACTTCTGGAGTTTTGCTGGCTAAATGGAGTTGAGAGTTTCACAAACTTTCCTGTCCCAGCTGGCTTCCAGCCTCCATCCTCAGATCTCAGTCTCCTGATTAACTAGGATAACGGGCACGAGCCACCAGTACTCAGTGCAGCCATCCACTTGCTCTCACAAAACAGAAAATGATTTATTTTCAGCTCTTTCATCCAAAGATTGAGTGGAAGCCAATGGATACTTTACTACTCTAGTCCATTCTAAGTCAGTCTAAAAGGAAGGAACAACTTACTCACTTGAATTTACATGTGTATTTATTTTCACTTCAACAGCCCTTCAAATAGCACTCCGGTGAAGTCTGACAGCCTCAAAGATCATCGTGTTGTAACAAATAATAAAAACTAACAGTGAGCAAATTAACCAGGTAAAGAAACTTGACTTACAAGAATAGTTCCTTTTGATGAGGATCTTCCAAATTAAATTGATTTTTTCTTATAAGTTCAAAAAATTCTCCTCGTCTCCTTGAAAATGAAGAAAAATATTATGTTGAGTACCCTGTCTCTTATCAACTTTTAGTCTCTGATACTCAGAAAATAAATATTTGGAGAAAAAAAAATCCTTATTGTAGAACCCCTTCATCTAAAAATCAACATTTAAAAGTCATTTAATACTTATTCTCACTCTTCATTTACTTTTTTGTTTTGAGCGGTTCTAGGGCTTGAACTTAGCTCTTCCCACTTTGATTCAGTAAATATAATCTGATGTGTAATAATACCCATCATTGCTATAAATCTTGAGCAATCACAAGAGTTGTTCTTTCCCTAGTGTTTTAAAATCTAGCTAGACACACAAGACTCAAGAAGAGAAAAGTGTTATGCTCTGAAATTTACTACATAGGATCTTCACAAATTAATAGTAGTTTCATAGCGTATCAGAGGAGATGCTCACTGGACATGACAAGTCCCAGAAGGCTGTGCGGTTCAAGGTACTTTTCAAATACTTGGTATAACAAATCTGTTACAAATGGAGTAAATTGAAATTTATTGTATTTTCTTTTGCTCTAATAATAACAGTAATAATAATTATTACTATTACTGTTATTACTATTATTATTTGCGTGTGCCAGTCCTCAGGGCCTGGGTAATGTCTCTGAGCTTTTTTGCACAAGGCTAGTGCTCTACCATTTGGGCCATAGCTCTACTTCCAGCTTTTTGGGTAGTTAACTGGAGGTAAGAATCTCATGGATTTTCCTGTCCCAGCTGTCTTTGAACCATGATGCTCAGATCTAAGTCTCCTGAGTAGTTACGATTACAAGCATGAATCACCACTGGGGTGTCTAATTTTTTAAAAAATTAATTTAGCTGGATGCCAGTGGCTCACACCTGTAAAAAAAAATTCTAGCTACTCAGGAGGCTGGGACCTGAGGATTACAGTTTAAGCCTAGCCCAGGCAGGAAAGTCTGTGAGACTTATCTTCAGTAATTACCCAAAAGACCAAAGTAGAACTGTGGCTAAAGTGGTAGAGTGTTAGCCTTGAGCCAAAAAACCCAGGGACGGTGCCTGGGCTCTGAGTTCAAACTCCAGTACTGACAGTCCCCCTCCCCCAACAATTTATTTTTGAACTTCAAAGGGTTGCATGAGGGGGTTACAATTTAGTGTCTAAGTGTCCAGTGCTTCTTGATCAAAGGCACGCCTGTCATCACCCCCCACCCATCCCCTGTGTGCCCTCCCCAACATTCAATTCTAATTACCCTTCAAGTGTTCCAAAATTCAATGACGTAGATACTGAAGTTAGATACAGAGCAGTAGATAACTGATAGACATTTGCGGCTGTCCATTTTGCTCGTTTTTCTTCTCCTAAGAGTGGCAAACTCCTTGCCTCTAATCCTCGTGCAGAGGGAGAGACCTGTGCTCTGTGCTAAAGGAAATCCCACAGGTGTGGCTCCAGGCTCCCTGTCTTCCCACACTTGAAAACACTTCACTCTCTGGAAGGTGGCAATACATGGTTGTTCAAACCCAGGAAAAAGTGTTTGCTAGCATTCAGAAATGCAGAGCAATTGTGAAAATGCATCACCACAACCTAGCACTGTAATGCGTAGCTGAATTTTAGAATCATTAACTTCCAAGTTGTACATTAACATTCTTCCTCTGCCAACATCAAATAAAACAGAAACAAGAATTACTTGTTTGATAGGTCCCATGGTTTCTCTTATTTGCAATAACTAGTACCTGTGTAGGACAAGAAGAAAAGGCCAAAAGCTATGTACATATGACCAGATGAGATGATGTTAAGTAAAATGAGCCCCAAGATAGGGACACAAATATCTTTTTTTCTTTCTTGCTATTGTTTCTAACGTATTTATAATGTACCATGTGATTTTTTTGTTGCTTTGTATGTTCCTCCCCCACAGTATAACTCCTGTTTTCACTGCATTTGATATTGGTGCCCTGCATCTTGTATATGTACACTGTGTGTGTGCACGCGTGTGTGAGTGTGCGTGTGTTCTGGTCCTGGGGCTTGAACTCAGGGCCTAAATGCTATCCCTGAGCCTTTTTTACTCAAGGCTAGTGTTCTGCCACTTGAGCTGCAGCTTCACTTCTGACTCTTTGGAAGTTCATTGGAGATAAGCATCTCACAAACTTTCCTGACTGATCTGGCTCCAAACTAGGATCCTTAGATCTCAGGCTCCAGAGTAGCTAGGCCTAAGACAACAGTACCCAGCTGCAAACACTTTTAAGATCTGTTTTAGAAGATAATTTTCTAAAGACTTACTTTATATAGAGTGCTAGGTCTGTAGCTAAAATAGCTTGCTTGATTATTTTCAATGTGGTCTTGTATTCTTCAATGGAGAGGCCACTGAGAATCTGGTTGCCCTTAAAGAAAAAAAGTATTATTAGTGGTGATCCTGCAGACGGTGCTCACATGAAAATGCATGAAGATATAATGTCTCGCACACATGCCTGCTATTCTGAACTTGTGATTTACAGGACACATGCTTCCTTCAATACCATGAAACCATAGAATGTTACACCTGCCTATGTACGCGTATATCTCCAACTCTGCTACTCCTTGGGCCTTAGACCACACCTAAAATCTAATAGCTGATTATCAATTTCCGTTGGGCAATTTAATTGCTACACTGTAATCACAAGGGAAACTGAAATATCAAGAGCCATATTACTGGATGTAAAGAATGGAATTTTACTCAGCTATAAGGAAGAATTAAATTAGATAATTTGTCAGAAAATGAATGGAACTGGAAATCATCTTGTTCAGTGAAATAATCTAGCGCCCCCAAATCAAGTATTGCATGTTCCCTCCATTTGTGGAAGTGAAATAAAACCAAGTCCTGAAAGTAAAAACACAATTAGGGAGGTGGAAGGGGAAAAGAAAGCATGAGAAGGAATGTTGGGAGAGTAATAGAGCAGTTGATTATGGTCAAAATTCATCATATGCATGCATGGAAACGTCTAGAAGCAATCACTTACCACGTACAATTTAACATACACTATTAAAAAAGAATGAAGACCAGCACCAGTGGCTCAGGCCTAATCAGTAGGTTGTAATTTCAGGAACTTGATACAAAGCCATCCTAGGGAATACAAATCACCCTAGGGAAGACAAATCCTAGCGATTCTCACCTGCAATTAACTAGTAAACTGGCAGAACTGGAAGTGTGGCTCAAGCCAGAGAGCAGAGCACTAGCCTTGAGCAAAAAGTTGAGCAAGAATGTAAGGTCTTGTTCAAGTCCTATTTTTTTTATTAGGAATCAAAAAGTGAAAATTGTGAAATTCTAAAACATTTGATTAAATTAAAATTATTTCTCTACTGCTTTTGTAATAAGCCAATATATATATATTGGGTTTCAGTAATGAGGCTTGAGCTCAGAACCTGGGTGCGGTCTCTTAGCTTTTCCTTTACTCAAAAATGGTGCTCTACCACTTGAGTCACAGCTCCACTTCCTGCTTTTTGGTGGTTAATTGGGGATGAGAATCTCCAATTAGATTTTCCTGCCTGGGCTGGCTTTGAAGTGTGATCCTCGGATCTCAGCCTCCTAAGTAACCAGGATTCCAAATGTGAAGCACTGAAGCCCAACGAACTGGTGCCAATGTATACATCTTAATCAATACCAAAAATCAACCATGCATTGTTCTCTGGGAACCTGACAGGGCAGCTGGGCAGAGGTCCTGAGACCAAGACGTGCTTCCTAGCTGGCGATTGTGGTGGTACTCACAAGGGCTGAGGCGTCTACTTAAAGGGGGCTAGGCCTTGTGTGATCATTGAAGGGCTTTGCTATGTTACCATTCTTAATTCTGGCCTGTAATTTAAAGCACAGTCACTCTCTCATTGTGAACTAAGTAAAACGCACAGAGTGGACACTCAGAATATACTCAAAACAGCTGTAAGTTCAGTCAGATATGCTTCTTAAATATCAGAGCCAAGAAAAATAAAGTCCTGAGGCTTAGACATGTTAGGAGGTCAGGGGGACTTCTGGGTGGGCAAGGCGGATGACCACCATACTAGCTATACCATAACTAATGGTGACACTGTAGTATGGATGTAAGATGAGAAAAACCTACAGACACAACTGAAAACATTATTATTATATTTGGTGCTGGTCCTGGGGCTTGAACTCAGGGCCTGGACCCTGAGCTTTTTCTCTTAAGGCTTGTGCTCTGTCACTTGGGCCCCAGCTCCACTTCTGGATTTTATTTATTTATATATTTTTTGTGATTAATTGGAGATAAGAGTTTCATGGACTTTCCTGCCTAGGCTGGCTTTGAACCTCGATCCTCAGATGTCAGCCTGCTGGGTCCCTAGGATTACAGGTATAAACCATCAGCGCTGGGTCCATAAACATTATTTTTAGATATTAAATTATTTTTAGAATTTTTAGAGTTTTGGAAAAGAGATCTAAATCTAAGAACTTCTGATACTTTTTATTTATCTTAGGATAAAAAATTATTTCAAGCAGAAAATTATTTTCTGCTAGTTTTATATATGTTTCTTCTTCTCAAAGCAGGGTCTATAATTTCTTTTGCATATAAATGTGTTTACAAAGATAATGATCTATAGACAAATCTTATGATCTGAGCCAGACATATTCACACAACCAGAGTCCTTGGATAGTAAATAATAATGTTTCATATAATAATAGTGAAAAAAAACAGTTGTAACAGGATGGCTACTAAATATGCTTTAAATATATGTTAGCATGCTCTTTGTTTTATTTTCTTTTTTTTTTTTTTTGCTTTGGAAATGCACTTGTAATAAGATATATTTAAAAAGCAAGTTTTAGCTGAAGTACACAGCCAATTCTGAGGGAAGAATAGATACTTCCAGGATAATATGCCATACATTTCTGTGAAAGTTTGAGTCTTGGAAGAAATGCACACATGAAAGATAAGATGCTTTATGGAAAAAATTGTTAAAAGCAGGCCACGTGCACCCTGAGTGACAACCCCAGAGAGAGCCACTCCCTCTGAGTAACTCTGCAGCACCCATGGGGCAGGTCTGAGGCCACCTCCAAAACAGCCAGACGCAAATGCCAGATTGAGATGTATAAGAAAGTGCCAGAAGCTCAAGGCAGTCCAGAGCAAAGGAGAGAGCTTTGGGCATGTGTTTAATGATGTGAAAAGCGACTGGAAGAGTCCGTATGTTAAGAATCAAGATAGCTTTCTTACTAAAGGCCAAAATTCCCTGGGGCTCTGGTGGCTCAAAGCTACAATCCTAGCTACTAAGGAGGCTGAGATTTGAGGATCCTGGCTCTAGGGCAGTTCCATGCAGGAACATCTCTGAAACTTTCTTTTTTTATTTTTTATTTTTGGCTTGTCTTGAGGTTTAAACTCTTGGTTTGGACACTGTCCCTGAACTTCTTCTGCTCAAAGCTAGTGTTCTACCACTTTAGCTACAGCACCACTTCCAGCTTTTTCCATGATTTAATTAATAAAGAATTTCACAGACTTTTTTTTTTTTTGGTCAGTCGTGGCGCTTGAACTCTGGGCCTGGGCGCTGTCCCTCAGCTCTTCAGCTCAAGGCGAGCGCTCTACCACTTGAGCCGCAGCACCACTTCCGGTTTTCTAGTCGTTTATTGGAGATAAGAGTCTCATGGACTTTCCTGCCCAGGCTGGCCTTGACCGAGATCCTCAGATCTCAGCCTCCTGAGTAGCTAGGATTACAGGCAGTAGCCACCAGTGCCCAGCTCACAGACTTTCTTGCTTGGACTGGTTTCCAACTGCTATCCTCAAATCTCAGCCTCTCCAGTAGCTAGGATTATAGGCATGTGCCATTGGTGCCCTGCTGTCTCTGGAACTCTTTATCTCTGATTAACCAGCAAAAAGCTGGAAGTGAATCTGTGACTCAGGTGAAAGAGTGCCAGTCTTGAGGGAAAAAGCTAAGGAAGAGCAGCCAGGTCCTGAATTCAAGCCCTAGGAACTACACACACACACACACACACACACACACACACACACACACACACACACACACACACACACACACACACACACACAAAATCAACTCCCACAGTTCTGGTAGCTCTACCCTAGAGTTGTGTACAGTATACCGGCATCAACCAGACATGAAGCAACATATAAGCAATTGGCTATCACAGCAAACCAATCTACATTAGACCATACACAGCCTTACTGAGGAGGTTACCCAAACAGGTTGTATAACTCTTTCGTCCCCTCTTGTGCTAGGGATAGAACACAGAGTCTTATGCACAGAAAGCCCATGTTCTACTCAGATTACAGAACTTTTCACCTTTCACCCACTCTGAAGAGAATTCATTTTCCTCCACCTCAAGCAAGAGGGAGGCCTGGAACTCCCTTCTATGTCTTTCTGGCCTTCCTTCCCTTCTCTGGCTGGAGGAGTAGGAAATGACATGGAGGCTTGAAGGGAGGAAGGACAGGGAAGATTCAGGAAGGAACAAACAGGAGAAGTCCACCAGGGAGGAGAGTGGGGGCGGGGGAGAGCCTGAAACTTTAAATCAGATCCACATCAGGAATGGACACTTTGAGGGATTTATGAACTGACAACTGTCTATTATGTAGTGGGACTTAGCCATCCATTGAGCAGAGGGGCATTTATTTATTTTGGTACCAGTCCTGGGGCTTGAACCCAGAGACTGGGTGCTGTCCTGGGCTTCTTTGCTCATGGCTAGTGTTCTACCACTTGAGCCATAGTTCTACTTCTCACTTTTTGGGTAACTGGAGGTAAGAGTCTTATGGACTATTCTGCCTAGACTAGCCTTGAACTTGGATCCTCAGATCTCAGCTGCCCAGGTAACTTGGATTACAGGCATGAGCTGCTGACCCAGTGAGAGGCTTTTATTTATACAATAATGAGCAGAATAGTTTTCTTTTGGGGCTTAGGGAAGAACCAGCCACATCAGTAATAATTAAAGACATGGTGTTTAAATCCCTTCAAGATTATACACCATTTGTTATGCTTGTTTTAGGTTGTGGTTATTTCTACCTTATCATAAAAGTAGCACCCAGCACCAGCTGGGTGCTGGTGGCTTATTCCTGTAATCCTAGCTATTCAGAAGGCTGAGATCTGAGGATCAAAGTTTGGAGCCAGACCTGATAGAACAGTCTGTGAGACTCTTCTCTCTAACTGACTATCAAAAAAGCTGGAAGTGGAGATGTGACTCCAGTGGTAGAGCATGAGACTTGAGTGAAAAAACCCAGGGACAGCACACCATCCTGAATTCAAGCTCTGAGACCAGTGTACACATAAAAATGTAGGATTAAACAAACCAAAAGGGAACATAAAAAGTATTAATAATTTCAGTAGACCAGCACAAACACTGCTAACTTTAGGATGTATTAATTTCTTTTCTTTTCTTTTTTTTTTGGGTCCAGTCATAGGCCCTGAACTCTGGGCCTGGATTCTGTCTCTCAGCTCTTCAGCTCAAGGCTAGCGCTCTACCACTTGAGCCACAGCGCCACTTCCGGCTTTTTTCTTTTTGCTTATGTGGTGCTGAGGAATCGAACCCAGGGCCTCAGGCATGCAAGGCAAGCGCTCGACCACTGAGCCACCTTCCCAGCCCCAAAGGATGTGTTAATTTCTTTAACTAGACTACTTTCCTTAACTAGGTTATTTTCTTTAACTAGGTTAATTTAGCACATCTTATTACATACTTTTTTCTTTAATAAATTAGTTTAGATTTGTTACACAGGGGAAATTTCATTATAACATTTCTACATATTTACAATGTGTTCCAATCAATCTCATTCCTCTATCCCTCTCCTTTACATCCTTCTGTTAATATGTTTTCTTACATTGACAAATACTAATTTCATCAAGTTGTTAACAAAACTGTTTGTTAATGGTTAGAAGTTTCAATAAAAAGGGAGAGCTGTCCAGGAGGTAGAAACAAGAGGTTTGTTCCTTTAGGCTGTTTTTCTTTTCTTTTCTTTCTGTCCTGTCTGTTTGTCTGTCTGTCTTTGGGAAGGTAAGAAAAGGCACAGAAATGGACGGACAAGATGAACAAATGCAGCAATGGAACTCATAGACACTATGTTGATAATGAACTGTACAACTTGTGGGTGGGGATGGGAGGGAAAATCTGGGAGAGAAGGAAGGACTGACATTGTCCAAAGAGAAATGTACTCACTGTAACCCCTCTGTAATCACCTTTATAATAATAAAAAAAAAGAAAAGAAAGAAAAGGAGAGCTGGGGGTGTGGCTCAGTGGTTGATCATTTGCCTAGCACAGACTTTGGGTTCAATCCCAACAGCGTAAAAAAAAAAAAATTAGCAAAAATTCAGTACTGTTCTGTGAAAATGAACCCAAAGCTATATAATCCACTTCATGTGAATTTTTTAAAAGCAGAATTAATCAAGAGCCAAAAAAAATACTAATTTTCTTTCTAATCTGGAATAATCGAATCGAGCCAAGTGGCCAAATATCCCTTATCAGGCAACATTAGGCGGTTAGGTTGCATTGAGTAGTGAGGCCATGGAGATCACTCAAGGTTTTGGCTTTGCCTTTCTTACCCAAAAAGGAATAGAGTGTGTTCAAGAATTTATGAGGCTGGGAAGAAGTCCAAAACCTAAAAATAAAACAATTTATAAAGCTTCCTTTTAACATTCCACAACAAGAAAGGAAGTACTTACGGGGCTGTTGAGAATCATCAAGCACTGGTCAAAGTGGTGGTGTTCCATGATGGAGTGGCAGTAGAGCTGAGCCAGGGGGTGTTCACTTCTGAAAAACATTTTGATGAATCCAGAAAGTCATTTCTTTTTCTCTGTCAACTCATTCTTCACAGCTCCTGGGGCTTGAACTCAGGACCTGAGTGCTGTCCCTGAGCGTTTTTTTTTTTTTTTTGCTCAAGGCTAATGCTCTACCACTTGAGCCACTGCTTCACTTCTGGCTTTTTTCAGAGTTTATGGGAGATTAGCTTCTTGTTTAACTAGCAGAACTACTGAACAAAATAAACCAGACCACCAATTTTCTCATCTGTTGAGAAAAGTATGAGGTCATCTCGGGGGAAATGAATAGAAGAGTCAAATTTCGAATTCCAACGAACCTGGTGCTGGTTACAAGTCAGTGGCTTTGATATTGAATAAACAAAAGATGCAAGGAATAAGGACTGGATTGTAAGTATGATCGTGCCAACAGTATTTTTCAATTTCAAAACACAGCTGACTTAAAATCTGAAACAAATTTATGTTACCTTTTCCTCTGAGATAATGCTCAACTGAAGGCCAGCTTGTACAGGGTTATATCCGCATATAAGGAAAGAATTGACTGTGATGGAATGAAATGAGCCGGGTGTGAGTGAGGAGAATCCAGGCAAGCAATGATCCAAGAAGGAGGAGAAGGAGGCAGAGAAGGGAGGAGGGGGGATGGAGTCTGGAGTGACGGATGGAAGAGGAACGATGGAGGATTGAGGCTGGAGAATGGAAGAAGGGAGGGAAGGGATAAGTGAGAGGGAGGGAAAAGGGAGAGGACTGAGGATGAAGGGTGAAAGATCAAGGGGGAAGTAGAAAGAAAGGGAAGATGGAGGGAGGAAAAGGGAAGGAAGAAGCGAGGAGAGAAAGTTAAAGGATAGAGATTGGATACAAGTTGGATGAATAAGCAACGTAGAGAGTGAGAAAAAGGAAAAAGGGGAGAAGGGAGGATGGAAGTTAGGGAGCATGAAGGACGGAGTGCAGGAGGGGTGGAGGGAGGACGGAGGATGGAGGTGGAAAAATGAAGGATCAATGGAGAATGCGGGAGGAAGAAAGGTAGGGATTTAAAGAAGGATGGAGGAGGGAGGAAGGATGTAACATGGAGGATGGAGGAACTGATGGAAGACAGAGCACAACTGATATTCTATAGTTCTCCTTCTGCCCAGAGAAGTGCCAGAATTCTGGCTCCTTACATTGGCCTATCATGAAGGATAGTTTCGCTGTAAGGAGTCTAGGATCATCAAACCTAAATCTGACCAAATAGATACATCCAAGATGATGTTTCATTTGCCACCTAAGTGTTGGCGCATTTTCTCTAGTGGAGAGCCAGACTTCAGCCACTGTCTTCCTACTCTTTTCTTCCCCATCCACGCAGGAGAATATACATGGAGCATGGACCTTCCAAAGCTTTCCCAGCACATGCATAGGATTGCACACAATGTCAGTCAGGAGAAAGGAATCAGAGAATCGAACAACAGCTGAAGGGACAGCTTGCTATTCAAGGGATGTCTTGCTTCAAGTTAATTTCTGAAAAGTTAAAGAGTGAATGACACTGAGGCATAGGCTTATATACAGCATTTCATTTATTATCGTCTATACAGGAGTGAAAGTTCCTAGAGTAAATCTTTTGTGCAATTAATAGGCAGTTTAACAAAATGAGTATCAAGCTGAAGTGAAGCAGGGTGCCAGTGTCTCATGCCTGTAATCCTAGCTACTAAGTAGGCTGAGATATGAGGATCACGGTTCAAAACCAGCCCAAGCGGGAAAGTCCTTGTGACTCTTATCTCCAATAAATCACCAGAAAACTGGAAGTGGCACAAGTGGTAGAGCACTAGCTTTGAACTGAAGAGCTGAGGGACAGCATCCAGACCCAGAGTTCAAGCCTCACAACCAACAACAAGAAAAAAGGAAGCTGAAATGAGATTGTAAGGGGACATAGTGGGAGAGGGTGGATGAATGAAAAAGTGTAAGAACAAATATAAGAATTTTATTTTGCAGGGCACCGGTGGCTCACGCCTGTAATCCTAGCTACTCAGGAGGCTAAGATCTGAGCATCGCGGTTCAAAGCCAGCCCGGGGAGGAAAGTCCATGAGACTCTTATCTCCAATAAACCACTAGAAAACCGGAAGTGGCGCTGTGGCTCAAGTGATAGAGCGCTTGCCTTTAGCTGGAGAGCTGAGGGATCGTGCCCAGCCCAGAGATCAAGCCCCACGACCAAAATAAATAAATAAATAAATAAAAATAAAAATTATTTTTTGCGAGTCCTAGATTTTGAACTCTGGGTCTAGGTGTTGTCTGTGAGCTGCTTTTGCTCAAGGCTAGTGCTCTAACCACTTCAGCCATCGCTCCACTTCCAGCTTTTATTGGTAATTTATTGGATCAGGATTTTTCTGCCCCAGCTGGCTTTGAGCTAAGATCCTCAGATCTCAGTCTCCTGAATAGTTAGGATTACAGGTACGAGCCACCATAATGAATGTATTTGATAAAGGAAGTGAGTAATGTGAAATGCATTTGGGTGAGAGGATACAGATGGAAAGGGGTAAATATGTGAGGGGTGACTCTGGTCAAGAAGTACTGGACACTTAGATGGACACGTTAAATCGTAACCCTCTTGGACAACCTTCTAAAGTTCAGACTTTTTTTTGAAATGAACAAATGAGGTCAATTTCAGTCTCTAACCATGCTACCCTATAAACATATATCTTCTTCTTTTGATCTGATCTACATGTCACTCTGAATATCAGACAAGGTCTGAACAGAACATACCTTTTGAGAAGGCAGTACTTTCTGTGGGAATGCTTATGATACTTTTACTATCTTAAGTATCTCCCTTCAGGAATCACTCCCTTGGCAAGTAAGAAAAAAAAAATCCCTGGAAAAATCTTGTTTTCCTCAAACCCCAGGGATGTAGGAAGAAATAACAAGTCTCTAAAACTGTTTTAACTTAAAAAAGAAGTTGTGATGACTTGGTTGGAATCTGCTTTGTGGTGTGTGAAAGCAAGATTCTGCAATCTATAATTTTTCCCAGGAGTTTTTTTTTTTTTTTTTCTCCAAGAGAGATGACGTTTCTCCAGATGTTTTCTTCCGGGTACTTATTTAAAAATAAGCAAAGGAAAAATAGAAAATTATTTGATTTCCCCCCCTCTCTTTCTTAAGCACAGCAACATAGCATCTCAGTGCAATCTATACCCTAACAGCCTGCATGCTAGTAATTTTAGGTCAGACTATGAAATGCTATATTACATAAATGTGTGTGTGTGTGTGTTGGGTGTGGAGCTGGAACTCAGGGCCTTGGCACTGTCCTTTAGGTTTTTTTGCTCAGGGCTGGCACTCTACTACTTGGGCCACACTTCTACTTCCTACTTTTTGCTGGTTCATTGGAGATATGAGACTCTCAGATGTGTCCCTGGGCTGGCTTTGAACTGTGATCCTCAGATCTCAGCCTCAAGTGTACCTAGGATGACAGGTATGAGCCAGTATTGCCTGACTTATATGGTCTGACTATGCTATGAATCATGTTTTATTAATGCATATTCATTGTACAAAGGATCTCACTGTGCTATTCCATGTATATGTAAAATGACATTGATTTATCTACTGCTTTCTTATTCCCCTATCCCCACTTTTCTTTTTTCTTTTTTTTTTGGTGTGTGTGCTGGGCTTGAATTCATGGCCTCTCCAATAATTGGCAAAGGCATCTCACCCAGTCAGTTCTATAAAACAGATTTTCAAGAGCAGACAAAGGCCTGACTGTGGCAGTCAAGAGCTTCCTATCTTTTCTCATTCAGTCAGCACATGGCAGTGGCTCCTCACTGTAATTCCTCGGACATGAAGTTCTCTGTTTATTCAGATCAAGAGACTGTGATTAGAGAGCTGTTCTCAGATACCCTCCAGATCTCACACATCTGGAACTGCCTTAAGACATCTCTGCATCCATCAAATCATTTGCACACTTCATCTTAGTTGTGAGAGATGATTGTTCTTATGTCAATGTAGGCTCTTTTCAGCCAACTGCTGTGAGAAAAAAAAGTGGCTCAGAAAAAAAACCCCACACACAAACTGATGAAATGTGACACCATTTTTACCATCTCCTTTGTCAACACAGATGAGTATAGCTTTGCCAAGTACAAAAGTTTAGTGCCAAAGTATCGTGTGTGTGTGTGTGTGTGTGTGTGTGTGTGTGTGTGTGTGTATGCTGGTCCTGGAACTTGAACTCAGGATCTGGGTGATATCCCTGTGCTTTTAACACTGGTGGCTTTTTTGGACATTAATTGGAGATGAGAGTCTCATGGACTTTTTCTTATTTTTTACTTTTTGATGGTATTTGAGGTTTAGATTTAGGGATTTGCAGTGCTTGGCTGGTGCTGTACAGCCTAACCTTAACTCCTGCACAAACAACTACCTGTAGCATCTGCTGCTAGGATTTAACATGACAAACATGGGGCCTCAGGCTGGTAGTGATGTGTGTGTCTGAAAACTTAGACCAACTCTGCTATATGGGCTGGTTATTATCATCTCCATTTCACACATCTGAAAATGAAAGTAGCCAGGTGCTGGTGGCTCATGCTTGTAATCCTAGTTATCCAGGAGGCTGAGATCTGAGGACCACAGTTCAAAGCCAGTCCGGGGAAGGCAGGCCGTGAGACTCTTATCTCCAATTAACCAGCAAAAAGACAAAGTGGAGGTGTGGCTCAATTGTTAGAGCTCCACCCTTGAGCAAAAATCGCCAAGTGCAAGCCCAAGGCACTGAGTTCAAGCCCCAGTACTGGTATGAATGTGCAAGAACACACACACACACACACACACACACACACACGCATTCAAACACAAGAAAATTAACGTATAAAAAAATTAATTCTCTTGACCAAGGCCATCTGGAAGAGTGAAGATTTGAATCTAAGCCTGACTATGAAGCTCAAGCTCTCCTGCATAGTGCAATGTAGCTTCTACTTGGACTCAAATCCTCCTCCTACAGACTGAAGTGAGCTCACTAAGTGAGAGTCCAGCCAAGCTAAGCACTTCTCAATGTTATCTTAAACAAAAGCAAAACTCATAGTAATTATCTAAGAAATAAGACTCAGCATAAATATATTTTTGTACTTCAGACTTAAAATGTGACCAACACAACATTAAATTTACATTATTATTATTATTTTCCATTTTCCCTTAAATATAACGTGAAGATGTTATGGGAGTTTGACCAAGTGCAATGTTTCTAGACAAATATGGCTATTTCTTTCTTTCTTTTTTTTTTGGTTGGTCATGGGGCCTGAACTCTGGGCCTGGGCGCTGTCCCTCAGCTCTTCAGCTCAAGGCAAGCACTCTACCACTTGAGCCACAGTGCCACTTCCAGCTTTTTCTGCTTATGTGGTGCTGAGGAATCATGCATGCAAAGCAAGCATTCTACCACTGAGCCACCTTCCCAGCCCATGGTTATTAATTTCTATTTAGTGCCAATTTAGTATGTTAATCTGGGCTACTATTTCCAAAGTTGACAGCACAGTTAAGAGTTTCAAAATTTTCTATGGTTTTAACTTTAAAAACCCCAGTTCTTTTTCTTGTCTGGGCCTGGGATATGAATATTTGGCATATGGCACTTTTGCTCCCTGGCTGGTGCTCTACCATTTGATCCATGCCTCCAAATCCCCTGTTCTATAATTTAAATGAAACGTTTTCCAGTTTTTCTGGGGAAAACCATCTTACCGCTGTATGTATGAGTTGTTCACACCTCGATGATCTAAGTCATGGCTCAGTGCGGCGATCAGCAGGGCCAGTATCTCTAGCTCTGACAGCTTGCTCTGGGTCCCCAAACACATTGGAGGGAAGGAAAAGAAAGGGATGATTTGTCAAAGGGTATTCTGCTACTGCTTTTCAGTCAGCTGACTCATGTTTACATATGTACTGTGTGTAGATACAAAGAACTTATCCAGTCTCCTATCCTGTAAGAAATCACTGGACCTGGTCATTCATTCACAGGGGGATAATCATAAATGTATTTGTCAACAACAACAACAAAAGGCTTAAGTGCCTTAAAAATTAATAATCTGTCCATCTAGAGTAATTATCACATTTATTTATTTTTGTGATGGTAGCTGAGGCTTGAACTCAAGGTCTTGTGTTCTGGCTCAGCTTTCTTTTTCTTGTCTAGTGCTCTGCCATTTGAGCCACATCATATATATATATATACTTTAATTGTTTCTTCTTAGTCTCCTGCAGAGCCTGTTATTAGTTGCTGCACTTTAAGGATTGTAAGTAAGGATATAAATATTAAGCAGAGCAATTGAAGAAAGATGAACAGAAAATTTGGGTTTTGAAAGTTGCACAATAGGGCTGGGAAGGTGGCTCAGTGGTAGAGCGCTTGCCTTGCATGCATGAGGCCCTGGGTTCAATTCCTCAGCACCACATAAGCAAAAAGAAAAAAGCTGGAAGTGGCGCTGTGGCTCATGTGGTAGAGCACTAGCCTTGAGCTGAAGAACAGCACCCAGGCCCAAAGTTCAGGCCCCATGACCGGACCCCCCCCCCCCCAAAAAAAAAAAGAAAGTTGCACAATATAACTCCAACTCAAGTACAGGTTAATTTTGAATGCCTGATGTTCTATATGTACTCCTGCTGCCCCTCATTAGTAAAACAAAAAAGCCCAAAAAACAAAAAACCCCAAACCCAAGTTAAATGATCATGTTTGCACTGTTCTGTAAGAACAGTAGGGTTTAAAATATACATGAAAAAGTCTGGCACCAATGGCTCACACCTGTAATCCTACCTACTCAGGAGGCTGAGATGACAGGATTACAAAGCCAGCCCTGGCAGCAAAGTCCATGAGATGCTTAGCTCCAATCAACAGGCAAAAGAGACAGAAGTGGAGCTGTGGCTTAAGTGGCAGAGTGCTAGCTTAAGTATAAAAGCTCAGGGACAGTTCCCATGCCCTGAATTCAACCTCAGGCCCAGGAAAAAAAGAAAATTAGATGATCATTTTATTATTTGTCACAAAAAGCAATACTTTCAGTTGTGGTAATCCTTATGACTCTTAACACTCCAAAATAACACTATTCTATTTCTGATAAATGTTGACTAAGGAAGAAAAACATCACTGTGCTGTTTTATACAATTTCTTAGACAAATAACTTATTTGTTGCATATCTATCTATCTATCTATCTATCTATCTATCTATCTATCTATCTATCTATCTATCTATCTATCTATCTATCTATCTATCTATCTATCTATCTATCTATCTATCTCAGTGCTGGAGATCAAACCTAGGCAAATGTATTACCACTGGGCTACACCCTCAGCTCAGTCATTTCTTTTAGATCTAGTATGTTAAAAGAGTTCCCTATAAAAGTAGAGACACAGGATGATATTTTTAGGGTCTGTTTAAAAACAAAAGAACAGTGAATAAAATAAAATAATAAATAATCATGTGACGGTTACATGGAGTCATCAGCTTAGAATAACTAGTTGGTTTTCACTGAAGTTAGAATCTAAGGACAGGCAGAAATATAGGGAACAATTGGCCTGGAAAGGAAGGAATGACATAAATGGTTTCCACACCAATCTTTCTTTTAAAGAGTCTCTGGATCAATGTATACAAAACCCAAATCACTTTGATGAAATAGTACTAATAAAATTAACCAAGAGTCTAGAGAGAATACAGTGCAGAACCTTGAACTTCTCTAGGAAACCAGTTCACTACAAGGCTAGATTTTGAGAATTCAACTATGGTTCATAATAACATGACAAAAATGATACTTCCTCTTAATACTGTATGGTGTCAAATGTTTATTTCTCCAAACATTACTGAAGCATAACATGAAGCTATGTTAATTTTTACTACTCATGGGCTTGAACATAGGCCTTGAGTACTGTCACTTAGCTTTTCCACTCAAGGCTGGCACTCTACCATTTGAGCCACAGCTCCATTTCTGACTTTTGGGCGGTTAATTGGAAAGAAGTATTTCACAGGCTTTCCTGCCCAGGCTGGCTTTAAAGTTGTGATCCTCAGCTCTTAGCCTCATGAGTAGCTAGGATTACAGGCATAAGCCACCAGAATCCAGTGGGTGAAATTTTTTTAAAGAATTTTAGGCCAAAAAGGAACCCTACTACATTGTTGGTGGGAGTGTAAATTTGTTTAACCACTTTGGAAAGCAGTATGGAGGTTCCTCAAAAGAGGAACAGAGCTCCCGTGACCCAGCAATCCCACCTTTAGGCATTTACCCAAACGATCACAAACAAGGCCATACTAAAGCTACCAGCACAACTATGTTTATTGCAGCATTATTCACCATAGCTAAGATATGGAACCAACCCAGATGTCCCTCAGTAAATGAATGAATCAAGAAAATGTTCTGTGTGTGTGTGTGTGTGTGTGTGTGTGTGTGTGTGTGTGTGTGTATGAACTCTATGTCTCCATCAGAAAGAATGACATTTGTTAGGAAATGGAAAGACTTAGAAAAAATCATATTGAGTGAAGTAAGCCAGGCCCATGGTTTCCCTTATTTGCAATAACTAGTACCTGTGTAGGACAAGCAGAAAAGGTCAAAATCTATGTACATATGACCATATAAGATGATGCTAAGTGAAATGAACCCCAAGATAGGGACACAGGAGGTTTTTATCTTTGTTGCTGTTGTTTTTAATGTACTTATAATGTATTGTGCAATTTTTCTTGTTTTTTTTTTTTTGTTGTTGGTCGTGGGGCTTGAACTCTGGGCCTGGGCGCTGTCCCTCAGCTCTTCAGCTCAAGGCCAGCACTCTACCACTTGAGCTACACCGCCACTTCCGGTTTTCTGGTGGTTTATTGGAGATAGGAGTCTCACGGTCTTTCCTGCCCGGGCTGGCTTTGAACCGCGATCCTCAGATCTCAGCCTCCTGAGTAGCTAGGATTACAGGCGTGAGCCACCAGCGCCCGGCCTTTCTTGTTTCTTTTGTATGTTCTTCCTCCATGGTATAACTCCTGTTTTCACTGTATTTGATTCTGGTGTCCTGCATCTTGTATATACATGTTTCTAATTTGGGGAGAGGAAGGGAAATAACAAAACGCTGAAACAAGAATACAGGTTGACCCATTGTAGCAATGAGATGTACAAGACACTATGTTGAAAATGAACTTTACAGCTTCGGGGGGAGGGAGGAGTTAGGGAGGTGGGGAGGAAAGGAATGGTAGGGGAGAAACAAAGGAGGGGGTAATAGTACTCGATCAGAAATGTACTCATTACCTTACTCATGTAACTGTAACCCCTTTGTAAAAATTAGGCAATATAGGTTACATATGAAAGCAAATTAGTGACCAAGAATATTGCCACGCTATGCATGTACAGACAACGTGCTATTTTTCGATCCTCACAAATGCACATTAGAACCAGATTCTGTGATTTTTACTATGAAGCAATACAGTGTCTTCAATCTGTGAACTGTTCTACAGCTTACCTGAATCTTGCCTGCCTTGAGTGCAGCAAACATGCACTGGGCAGTGTTGAAGGCATGCCTCCAGTTGTGATAGGCTACATTCTTCCGATAATTCTTCTTAACACTCAAAATCCACCTGCAAAGAACCTTCAGGAAATAGAGCATAAGGCATGATTGAAGTTGCCAACACTTACTCCCTGGGGTCTCCTATGCTCCAAGCATAGTACAAGATATTCATTCCCATCCCATCCTTACAATTGTGAGACAGGTAACTTGGCAGTAGGTCTTGATGATTCCTAGCAAGGGGGAAGGCCAGAATTCAAACTTTCGCAGACTGAATCCAGAAGTCACCACGACAACCACCTAACTAGCTACTGTAGATGTAAAATTCTTGACATCTCCAAGAAAGGTATTTTGGGCATCAATAGGACTCTAATTTTTTTTAAAGTTGTGTGCGTGTATGCTGGTCCTAGGGCTTGAACTCAGGGCTTGGGTGCTGTCCCTGAGCTCTTTTTTTGGATCAAAGCTAGCATTTGAGCCATGGTTCTACTACTGTCTTTTTAGTGGTTCATTGCAGATAAGAGTCACAGACTTTCCTGCCTGGGCTGGCTTCCAACCATGATCCTCTGATCTCAGCCTCCTGAGTAGCTAGGATTACAGGCATCAGATACTGGTTCCTGGATGACTAGCTTTTCAAGATACTGTTTCATTGTGTTATCAATTAGGAGTCCAGGGGTCACAAGTGCATGAATTCATCTCTCATGCTCCTATGCTATGTGTTTGAAAAGGTATTTAGTTCAAGGTTCTATCTAGGGGAGGGTTGGAGGCAAGGTACCTAGAATAAGTCCAAGTCCAAGCTCCAAGTCGTTACTAATATTCTAGTTATATAGATTTCTGTCCCTTTAAACTTTGCTTAAGATTCAGGCAGAGTTACTGCGTGGCTACCCAAACTGAAGACCACACACACACACACACACACACACACACACACACACACACACACACACACACACTAAAGTTCATGGAAGAATGTACTTTAAAAGATGGAAGAGTGCCAGGCACTGATTGCTCATGTCTATAATCTTCACTACTTAAGAGGCTGAGATCTGAGCATCAATGTTCAAAGCCACTCTGGGACGAAAAGTTCTTGAGAATCTTATTGCCAATTAGCCAGCAAAAAACCAGAAGTGGATGTGTGGCTCAAGTGGTAGAACAGCAAACCTTAAAAAAAAGCCAAACAAGAGATGGAGGCCCTGAGTTTGATCCCAGTACTGGTATACCCCACAAAAAATAAATAAAAGAAAGAAAACGAAGAAGAAGAAAAAAAAAGATGAGAAGGAAAGAAGGCTGGGTAAGTTTAGGCAAGTATTACCAGCTGGGCTTCATTCAACTAGTAAGTGGTATATTAGAGTATATCCCTAGGGGTGCATGGGCTTTTGGCATGGTTGTGTTTGTGTTTAACGTCAGAGCTTGCCTCTTCAAATCTGAATAATTTACTACACTTGAGGGGATTTTATGAAAATAAATATGAGCTTCTTCTTGCAGAGAGCATGGCATATGCTGCAAATACAAAACTACGTAGCTTTGGGGAATGAAAAAAGAATTAGAGAAAGTATTCAACGTATTATGATCAACGAGTCTTTATGTGGAAGGACACAGCTAATGATTTTGGTGGGCTCTGTGCTTTCTCTGTGCTTTTCGGATCTTTTTGTTCCTGTTCCCTGATTCTGTTTGCAGGCAATTCAGGCAACAAGCACAGTGCTGTCTCCTACCCTTTGGCTCTCTGGTAGTTGAGTCATGCCCCAGTCCTGTATTTTGTACAGGACTGTCGAGTAATCATTTGCAGCTCAGATTCTCTCAAGAGCCTGCTGAATTGACTCAATAGGGTCACCAGCAATTACAGAGACTTGCAGAGGTCTGAGGGGTATACTCAAGGTTCCATGGGAGAAAGAAGAAAGAGAAATCAGCTCAGCTTCTGCGTTTAAGACACTCGCCAGTGAAAACAGCAAAAGTGCACTTATAAAATATGTACCCAAATAAACACAAAAGCAAGAGTATGGTTCCAGCCTAGAGTTCTCCCGGAAGCAGAGATTTTTATTTTTGATTTTTTTGGTGGTGGTGGTGGTGCGGGAGGGAGGGAGTGGGGGAGAGTTCTGCTCTGAGGGAAAGAAAAGTTTGTGGTACTATAAACTGCAGAAGATATAATTCAGGAGAGAAATTCAGCAATGGCTGAGGTCACTGTAACTGAACTCAAAGTTAGGAAACCAAGTAGAGAGTGGAAACTCTTTCACAATGAAATTCTCTTTGCCCAGGCAAGTTGGTGATACTCATATATACTCTAAGCAAAAGCAATTAAATTTTGTCATCTTAAAACAATACTGACAATAAGATCAGAAAATGAACACACAGAAGAGTCTCGAAAGCAAGTCCAATGAGAATCATCACAGTGATCAGACTGCTCAGATTTAAAACAGAAGTTCTCCAAGCAGAAACGAAAAGTAGGAATAAAGGCAGGAGGACAAAATTCTTTTCTTTCTTTCCTTTTCCCTTCCCCTTCCCTTCCCTTTCTCTCTCCCTCCCTCCTTCCCATCCTTCCTTGATACATGTGTATGTTATATAATGTTTATTTGTTTTTCTTAAATAGGTTTATTTTCTTTAGGTAGTTATACAAGGGACTTGCTATTCAACACAGCAGTTTATGAATACAGTGCTTTTCATCAACGTCACCACTTTCAATATTCTCATTTACCCCTCCCCACCCACCCCTCCCCTCTTTTTTTTTTCTTTTCTTTTTGCCAGTCTTGGGGCTTGAACTCAGGCCCTAGGCTCTGTCCCTGAGCTTATTTGTGCTCAAAGCAAGCACTCTAACACTTAAGCCCAAGTATCACTTCCAACTTTTTCTGAGTATTTCATTGGAGATAAGAATCTCATGGATACAAGACGTTATGTCGAAAAATGAACTTTACAACTTTGGCGGAGAAGGTGGGGGGGGGAGGGGGAGATGGGAAGGGGAAACAAAGGAGGAGGCAACAATGCTTGAGGAGGAGGCAACAATGCTCGATAAGAAATGTACTCATTACCTTGCCCATGTAATTGTAACCCCTCTGTATGGTATTTTCACAATAATAATAAAAAAAAGAATCTCATGGACTTTCCTGCCCTGGCTGGCTTTGAACCATGATCCTCAGATCTCAGCCTCCTGAGTAGTTATGATTAAAGGTGTGAGCCACTGGCATATGTCACTTTTATTTTTAGGTTACTGATTTTTTTTCTGGCCATTTAACAAAGCAATGTATGTATACATGGGTCTTTCTCTGTGTCATCTGTTCAACACCTTCACCCCCCCCCCCCATACCTTCCCTTATTTTTCTCAGTTCTGTTGTATATACAATTTCTTGCCTTCATTCTACTCATTTCCCCACTTTATTTTACGATTCCTCTCTTCTTGACAGCAGCTCCCTGCCCCCGGCAAGTACCCATTTCCTAGTATTCAACCATCAGAAAGAATGACATATTTAGCATTCATAAGGAAATGCAAAGACCTGGAGAGGATTGTGTTAATCGAAGCCAGACCCAGAGAAGCACAGGTTGCATGATTTCCCTCATTAGTGAGAACTAGAATGTGCCTATAAATCTAGAAGTAAGCATGCTGGGTATCACCCAAGTGACTATAAGTGAATTAATTGAAGTATAATAGAATCTATGGAGAACACAAATTGTATAACTCTTTAGAAAGACTACTAAAAGTCAAAGCCTAACAAAGTAAGTACTAGGAAATAGGTATTTTTCTGATGGATAAAAATCCAAAAGATCATCAGAATAAAAACAAATACAGAGAGAAAGCCCTTCTTCATTCCCAACCTTCAAATGGCACCTAAAAAGCTAAGAAATAAATAGACAGAATTTCATAAAAGGCCCATGAATCACAATCACATTCCTATATTCTGGACAAATTTCTCCATTGAATCATTACATGTGTAGGAACTTCAGGATTTGAAATACTGTCAAGGTTTCTAGGTTCCTAAAATGTACAAGAAGCAGAACTGAGAGCCACATGTAGAACTTCTACGTCTAGATGCCATTTATATCCCATTAATAGAGAAGACATAGCCTGGCACCAGTGGCTCATGCTTGTAATGCTCAGGAAGCTGAGATCTGAGAATCACATTTCAAAGTCAGGCTTTTGTGACACTCTTTCTCTCCAATTAGCCACTCAAAAACTTGTGGTAAAGTTGTGGCTCAAAGTGGTAGAGCACTAGCTTTGTGCAAAAGAGAGCTCAGGGACAGCATCCAGGCCCTGAGTTCAAGCCCCATGACTGACCGGGTTTTCCCGCCCCACCCCCTCTAAACAAAAATAAGCTCTTTCTCCTTCAAGTACTATCATATTTGGCCGAGGAATAGGATAAAGGACCAAGGAATCCATAGTTGTGGATTAAGCAGAATGTGAGACAGAAAAGAACACACATCAGCATCATATAGATGAGCACAGACTTCTCAGTGATGGGGGGTGAAAGCAGGAAGACCATTAGCCATAGTGTACAGATAAACAAACTAGGGGCATGAGAGGTTAACAACCCAAAATAATAACTACAGGACCTATGACTTTAGCCAGACACTGGTGTCTCATGCCTGTAATCCTAGCTACTAAAGAGGCTGAGATCTGAGGATTAAAGCTTGAAGCCAGGCTGGGAAGAAAAGTCTGTCAGACTCTATCTCCAATAATCCAGCAGAAAGCCAGAAGTGGAGGTGTGGCTCAAGAGGCAGAGTGCCAATCTTGAGTGGAAAAGCCAAATGAGAGTAAGAGAAAGAAAGGGAGGAAGGAGGGAAGGAGAGAGGGGTGGGGGAGAGGGAGAAAGAGGACAGGGGGAGGGAGAGACAGAGACAAAGAGATACACAGAAAGAGAGAATGAGTGCTATGATTTTTCTATTCTACCATCCCATCCCAATTTCTTCACTTGGAAAAAAGGAGGTAACAGTCACAACTCACGAGTCTCTCTTGAGAGCTTGTGGCCATCATTAAAGGGCATATGCTATTCCTTAACCATCACAGTCTAGCAACAGTGAAGCATGGTTTGTCTGTGGGTAGTTGTTCATCCAAGAAATATTAATAAAACCGTTGGTTAAACTGAGAAAGAACTAGCTTTGGGTCTCTACTAATGCTACAAGACACTGTATTAAGCTTAGCTCTGTTCACTATTATTCCTGTGAGAGAGTGGAAAGAATTCATCATAGACATTTACACCTGACAGCTTTGAGTACCCAAAGCATGTAGATAAACTTTCACTCGATCAATTAATGAAGGCCTAAACAGTAGTTTAGTTTTCAAGCTGTGGAAGTTTCTTAGAGTATCTGTGTATGGAGACTAGCTACTTACTGCATCAAAAAAGATACCCAGAAAGATAAGAGTGTGGCATACGTCATTATAAGCTAGGCTGCTTCCTTTTTATTCTTGGATGCTATGTCCACAGCCATTAGAGACAAAACCCAATCTCTGGATTCTCTACACTGACATTTCAATGAAATAATTCCAGTCCTGAGACTGTCTGTCAGAGAAGCAAGTGAGGTTACCGAGAGTTAAATCAGTCCTCACCCACAGCCCGCACAGATGACCCCTCATGTGGAGTGTCTGGTACTCCCTCCGAGCCCAGCCTGTCCACGGCTGCAGTCATATCTTGCTCCTCTCTGTGGAAAATCCCTCGGTGACTTAAGGTTGTTTTTATCATGAAATCTAAATTCCTTTGAATATAGCTCACAAAGTTCTACAGAATTTGTTTGTGACCTTCCTTTCTAGTTGCTTTTCTGGTCACGCTTACCCCTCAACCAGGCCTAGCTACAATATCTCCTGCTATTCTGGCTTGGCCAATCCTGTCCTCCAGTTAGGAACATTTCCCACATTCTTTAACCTGGTGCTTGCTATGTGGTAGAAATTCAGTACCTGTCTTTTCTGAGGTGTGTGTGTGTGTGTGTATGTGTGTGTGTGTGTGTGTAAATGCCCATCTTGGTGCTTGAACTCAGGGCCTGGGTGCTATCCCTGGGCCTTTTTTTTTTTTTTTTTGCTCAAGGCTAGCACTCTATCACTTGAGCCATGGCTCTACTTTTTGGTGCTTAACTATAGATAAGTGTCTCACGAACTTTCTTGTTCAGGCTGGCTTCGAACCCAGAGCCTCAGATCTCAGTCTCCTGACTCAGCTAGGATTACAGGCGTAAGCCATGGGTGCCCAGCTAGTACATGTCTTTTTAACTGGCAGCTTTTCTTTAAGAATCTACAGCTATCCATTAGGCAACAGCATATCAATTATTAGTGTTCTAAACCAATTCCCTCCCTCTCTACCTCCCAAAGGGCATTCTGCCTTCCTACCTCATGTTTCATTTGAAAGTTCTGTACAAGGTTGAGGTCAGTGAACATCCGGATTGTGCACAGCGCTGTTTCCAGATCAGACAGTTCGAAGTCACTGAAGCCAAAGTCAGTAATTTTAAGGGTCTGGGCAGATGGCACCACAGCAGCCTTAGGAAAAGAGAGATGAAAAAGGTGAAATAAAGGGAATCACAAAATTTTCTCACTTGGCTATAGGAAAAAAAGAACATTATGTATTTACTATTTTGTCTTTTAAATGTTGCTGTAGTAGATGTGAAATGACCCATACTGGCCAATGTGTTCAAGGCTTGGGCTGTGCTGGGTGTCACTGTTGGGAGGTGACAGCCCAGTGCGAGGAAGTGACATTATGTGGGGGGAATGTCATGTCTGTGGAGAGGATATTGGGACCTTAGTCCCACCTTTTCCTCTTTCACTTCCTGGCCACCATGAGCTAAGTATCTTGTTCAATCAGGGCTTCATGCCACATATACTGCCTCACCCCAGATACAAAAGCCACAGAGATGACCAAATGTCATCTGAAACCAGGAGGTAAAATAAACCTTTCAGTTTCCCTCCCTCTTGATAAAGGGACGGACCATATATAAAATCCAAGTTGGTCCAGGCTAGTCTTGAACTCTCAACCCTCTTATATCAGCCTCCTGAGTGCTGGAATTATAGGCATGCATCATCTTGCTTGACACTAATCTTTCCTTTTTTAAAGCTGATTTGCTCTGTAAAAGAAAGCTGCCTACCATAAAGGTAATATATCAGGAATGTTGTATTACAGGAATAATTCTCTTGTTACAAACAGAGCCACATGAGGTTAATGAACATAGTTCAAACCCATATATTGGTAGGGGCTGTGTCAAAATAAAAAGCTTCTGAAATACCAGGTCATACTGTACCCCAATTTCCAGCAAAGAGAATCTGGCTGAGGCCAAGGAGCTTCCCTCAGACCAGGCAGAGCCCTACAGCCTTTTCACTCCTAGATTTCCTGTCCTATCCTGGGTCACTGGAGTCCGTAGGAACCCTTCCTGGGTCATTTGCCATTCTAGGGTCTGGTGTTTTTTTTGTGGGGTGAGGGTGAGGGATAGTACTGGGATTTGAATTCAGGAGCTTAAGTGTGCTAGACTGGCACTCTACCACGTAAACTATATTCCTAGTCCTGTCAGAGCTTCTTTGAAAAGTTTTGGGTTTGTTAGACTAATACTAATGAGATGAAAAGAAAGGAAAAAATAGAGATGGAACCAGATTCCACTCCCTTTGATTTTCAATGAGGAGCTGAGTTACCATGGGTTTCCTTTATCTTTATCTTCCATGAAGTAAAAAGATAAAAACAGTAATAATCTTGAGAGCTATCTAAGAGCTGACAATGTCACTATGAATCTAAGGTCACTGGAACAGTCTTCTGTTTCTCCTGGCCTTCCATTTTTGCTTCCCGGACTTTTTTAAACCTGCAAAGTTCATACTCAAGGATTGTTTCTTCAGGACCCAAATTCACGAGGAAGTATGTGTTCTGTAAAGTGAGCTCCACGACTGAGGAATGCGTGGGCTGAAATAGAAGACAGGAGGATTGCAAATGTTTAGATAAAGGCTGAACTTGTTTGTTCCTGCCTCTAACTTTAGAGATAAGGTACCAACCACAGTGGGGAAGAATGGAGGTGGGAATAAGCCCACCTTTTAACTCAAAACGTAACTAAAAGACAAGGGGCCAGATTTTCTTTTTTAGGACATCATCAGGCTTAACAAGTGTATTTTCTTTTCTTTTCACAAAGCTTTTTCTCCATGCTGCAAGGGTGGAGGCAGCAATAAAACAGCCCATGCCTCTGTGCATTCTGCTGCTTTCCTGCCTCTCGGCTGGGAGGAAAAATAAATCTTTGCTCCTTGAGTCATATAACACCACAACTCAGCTTCCTGAGCAGGCCCTGTAGGGATGTGCAGACATTCCCCTTAAGAGCTTTGTGCTCAGGGATACTGGGGTTCAGGATTCTGGGATCAGTCTCTAAGAAGACATGACAAAGTTAAGAATCCTTTAAAGCCCTGCTAACCCGCTAACACTCTCACAGAAAAATCAGCTTTTGAAAGGCAATTTGAAGTGAAATGAATTACCCATAATTTGAAGTGAAATGAATTACCCATAATTCTTTCTACCAAACAAAACATCCTACATTTTACTGGTAGCAAGGAATGAAGTGTGTGGTATCTCTGGGAAAGAACAGGTACATTCAATTATAGATTTTTCAGTTTTTTTTTTTGAGTGATGTTTGTATTTGTTAAAATTTACAAAGTGACATTTCTGAGCTTGATTTTCCATCAGATGGCAAAATGATTTATTGTATTATGGTTTTGAAAACAAAATCAAACTTTTTTAGTGGTACTGGGGGTTTGAACTTAGGGCTTTATGCTTGCTTGGCCTTATTTGGTCAGTTCTACTACTTGAACCATGCATCCAGCCCTGCTTCTGGCTGGTTATTTTGCAGATAAGTTTCACAGGCTTTTCTGCCCTGGGTTGATTCAAACTGCATCCTCCAGATTCTAAGATCCTCAGCCTTTTCATTAGCTTGGTTTAAGGCACCCAATAGAAATACCACTTTTTAAAGAATTTGTATATGAATAAGATACTATACATAAAAAAATACATATATTTTTGGTTGGAAAATCCAATTCAAACTCCTGAAACTATAATGGTATTTAATCCCATAAAACAACTGCCTAATTTTCCATAGAAAAGCACAATGCCTTTGAATTCCCAGCAGACTCTAGTTTTCATCTGTGTCAAATTAAACACATGTAAAAGATATACATACAAAAAAATAGACAAAGTTCACCATTCAATCTACCAGTCAGCTTACGTGTGTGTGTGTGTGTGTGTGTGTGTGTGTGTGTGTGTGTGGTATGTGTGTATTCTTTGGGTTGGTCTGAGTTATACATTCAACTATCTTGGTTTAAGGGAAGTAACTATAGTTAGTAAAAGATTTTAATTTCTTAAACCAGGCGCCGGTGGCTCACGCCTGTAATCCTACTTACTCAGGAGGCTGAAATTTGAGGATCGCAGTTCAAAGCCAGCCCGGGCAGGAAAGTCTGTGAGACTCTTATCTCCAACAAACCACTAGAAAACCGGAAGTGGCACTGTGGCTCAAGCGGTATTAGCGCTCGCCTTGAGCTGAAGAGCACAGGGACAGCGCCCAAGCCCAGAGTTCAAACCCCACGACCAGCCCCCCCCCCAAAAAAAAGATTTTAATTTCTTGGTGATCTTATCTAAACCTTTTGTTCTAAATATCATCTGACTAACGAAGACCCAAATATAAAACTGATCATTAAAGCTGAGCACTGGTGGCTCATGTTGGTAATCCTAGCTACTCAGAAGGCTGAGATCTGAGGCCCATGGTTCAAAATCTGCCTGAGCAGAAAAGCCCATCTCCAATTAATCACTTCAAACTAGGTACTTTTAAGAGGGGAGGGTGGGGCCAAGGGGAGAGGAGTAGAAGAATGATGAGGAAAGGGGGAGAAACTCAGACAAGAATTCATTGTATATACCACAAAACAGAAATATCAGGGAAGGGGGTGGGTCCAAGTGAAGATGTTGAAGTGATGACAGATCAAGATTCACTGTACACATAAATTGCTTTGTTAAATGGCAAAAATTTCAATATATAACCTAATATTAAGATAAGTAAGCAAAGGGGGGGATAGGGAGGGGTGGGCGAGAATACTGATCAAATGCACTGTATTCATAAACTGCTTTGATGAATGACAACTCCTTTGTACAACTACTTAAAGATAATAAAAAATATGTTTTGAAAAAGCTGTGTTGTTGTGGCTCAAATGAGTTCAAACCCCAGTACCATCCCCTCTCATTAAAAAAAAAAAGACCAAAAAATTAACTATTTTGTCTAAAAAAGACCGTAGTTCCTATTATCTACAACTGAACTCTGATGTTACTCTTTTGGGCAACAAAAATGATTGCAGACTAGGCATCTGAGATGGGATCATTGATCAAGATGAATTTGAAAGTAGAAGAGAATCAGGACCCAGTCACAGCAGGGACTCTTCGCATGTGGTCCCTGGAAGGTGAGCATCTCCGGACTGGTTACAAATGAGAATTCTGGAGCTCCTGAATCAGAAACCTGGATGGGTTTGGCCATCTGCTTATCAGAACAGGCCTATCAGGTGATTCTAAGAATGCTGAAATCTGGGCACTGCTGCATCACAGGGAGAAGCTATTAATAATCGGCAGGACTTGGGCATTTAAATGATGGCTTGTGGTTGCCTAGAATAAAATAAAAAGCCTTGTGGTGACTGCTTGTCATTTGTAATGGGCAGAAGCTGCAGGGAAAGTTAGCTGCTATTTGATGTGGTAGAGGGATTTGAAAAAAAAGGAAAGAAAAGAAAGGGCTCTGGGCTTCAGAGTTTTAACTTAAATCATGGCCAGAAAACCACACATTTTATGGCTTCCTTAAAACATTCTTTTCTGGGGGAGGGGCAGTGCTGAGACTTGAACTCTAGGCTATGGCGTACTCCTTTATTCTTTTTGCTCTGGGTTGATGTTTTGCCATTTGAGCCACAGCTCCACTTCAGCTTTTTGCTGGCTAACTGGACTCTCATGGACTGTCCTGACAAAGCTAACTTTGAACTGCAATCTTCAGAACTCAGCCTCCTGAGTAGTTAAGATTAAAGGCATGAGCCACCAGCACCCAGCCTCTAACATTTGTTCTTGTAGCACTAACACGGCCAAAATCCAGGTGTGGTCTCAACCTGCAGGCTGCTGAATTACAGTGAGGGTGGAAGTCAGAACACTGATTAAAGAGGCATAATGTACCAAGAACTGCTTAGACACTGTATAACTACAGCGTCTCCCATGAATTCACTCTAGACTGTCCAATTTCATAGTGCCCTAAATCTTACCATTACCATAGTTCTGTTCTTTCATTGTTCCATACTATTGTATAATTATGTTGTATATCAAACTACATATTCATTGTGTATTTGGAGTGCCTTCTATAATGACCATCTAGAGTGGGAAGTAAAGACTGAATAGGTTTTGTGTATTTTGGTTTTATTTTTCAGCCATCAAACATATCACCAGAATGCAAATTCATGTAGCCTATAACATTCTCTTGTAGTTTTATTACTCATTTTGTTTACTTTTG